GTGGTGCGATCTCAGCTCACTGCAACCTCCTCCTCCCAGGTTCAAGCAATTCTTCTGCCTCAGCCTCCCAAGTAGCTGGGATTATAGGCACGCACCACCACCCCTGGCTAATTTTTGTATTTTTAGTAGAGACGAGGTTTCACCATGTTGGCCAGGCTGGTCTTGAACTCCTGACCTCAAATAATCTGCCCATCTTGGCCTCCCAAAGTGTTGGGATTACAGGCATAAACCACTGCACCCAGCCATTTTTAAATTTTAATAAAGTCTAATTTATTGATTTTTTTCTTTTATTGATTGTAATTTTTTGTGTGACATCTAAGAAGTCTGCTTTGATCTTAGGTCTCAAAGTTTTTCTCCAATTTTTTTCTCTAAAAGTTATATAGTTTTACATTTAAATCTATGATCCATTTTGAATTACTTTTTGTATAAGGTGTGAGGTGTAGAATAGATTTTTCTTTTCTTTCTTTCGTTTTTTCCTACAGAGTCCATTTGCTCCAGCACCGTTTGTTGAAAAGATTATCCTTCCTCCATTAAATTGCTTTTGCACCTTTGTCAAAATCAGCCAAACATATTTGTGTGGGTCTATTTCTGGGATGTTTATTCTGTTCTATTGATTTAGGTGTTTTTCTCCATGGCCCTCTCTGGGTTACTGTTGCCAGAGAGTGAGTCTTAAAATCAGGTCATGTGATTCCTCCAACTTTATTCTCCTTTTCACAATACTTGAGTTATTCTAGTTCCTTTGCCTTTCCATGTAAATTTTAGAACAAAATTAATATTTTTCTTTAAATTGATGGTTACAACTTTATTTAAAAGGAAAACACATGAGTTTGCTATGTCAGCTAGAGCTGTACTGTCAAAGTCAGTTAAAATAAAAATATAACAATTATAGTTTTAAAAACTATGTGAACCATGTGAAATGATCCCATGAACCCCCAAATTGGCCTGGACCCTCATCTCCCAGCACCCCTGTGTTGGGAAGAGCACTCTACGGTGAACTGCTGGCTCTGCCTATCTGGGGAAACTCACGTGGCTTGGCCGCCTCATTCAGTGCCGGCTCAGTGGTGTCTGTGTAGCCCCACAGCAATCCTCTATGGATGGCTTGCAGCTAATGGATTGGCCCACAGGGCAAGCTCTGCCCAACTGTGAGGTGCCATGTGGACTAAGTGAACCAATCAGATCCTCCCTCAGCACAGTTGAGTGATGGGTAGTAGAGAGTCAGTAGTTGGCAGTGGGAATAGGGTGGAAGCTATGAAGGAGCAGAGCCATGAAGGAGTGAGGCATGAAGGAATCAGTAGACTGCCGTGGAAAGAGTAACTGATTCCTTGTGGTGGGAAGCATTTGAGCTGGGAGCCGTACTTCCTCCTGCCAGCAGCCTGGGAAGGATGGGAAACTAGACGATGGGCACTGGAGCTGTCCTAGGTCCTGAACAGCCTTCTTTCCTCTGTGAAAGGCCTGAAGCTGGCTTGTGTTCTCTTCTTCCCCAATACCTCCCACCCCCAAATTTAAGGTAGTGTTTCCAAAGCTTGGGATTCATAGCCATGGAAGAGCACAAGATGACGTTAGGGTGCACAGAACCTGGGATTAAATAACAACACATCACAGAATCAGCGAGCTACTCCCTTTCCAGTGATCTCAGTAGAGTAGGTTGTTAACACCTAGTCCTTCCTAATCCCTTTTAACAAAGAGAGGTGGCCCTGCCTTTACAGCATTTGGTGAGCAATGCCTCTAGCAAAAATTTCACAGTGCTTTTCTGTTTTCATTATCGCTTTTGACAGTAATTTGCCTACTCATATTTTCAGTGCCTAGCACATCGTAGAGGTTCAAACTCTCAGCCATTGAATTAATTTGATTATTTTTCATTATTCTTTGATTTTTGTCTTTTTAACCTCAACCGACTGTGAACTCCTTGAAGACAGGGACTGTGCTTTTCATTTTCATTTTCATTTTAATTTTTTTTTAGACCAGGGTCTCACTCTGTTGCCCCGGCTGGAGTGCAGTGGCATGATCATGACTTATTGCAACCTCGACCACCACCTAGGCTAAAGCGATCTCCTGCCACAGCCTCCAGAGTAGCTGGAACCACTGGTGTGCACTACTACACCTGGCTAACTTTTTGATTTTTGTAGAGATGGGGTCTCGCTCTGTTGCTGGAGCTGGACTTCAGCTTCTGGTCTCAAATGATTCTCCCACCTTGGCCTCCCAAAGTGCTTAGATTACAGGCGTGAGCCACTGCACCTGGCCCTGCTTTTGTTTTTTCTTTGCCGTTTTGCTCCCAGGGCCTAGAAAAGTGCTCAAATACACAACCATTGCTTGTTCTGGTGAGTGAGTAGGCAGGTGGAGAAGACACAGGAAAGTCAAGTCTAGCAGGCTGGGCTTGGTCTCTATGCTGATGCCCAGAGGTAGCTGATGGAACTGGCTAGTGTGAGTCCCATTCAGAGTCCATGTCAGAAACTTGGCTGGTTGTACCTTCCTTGAAAGCCTCATTGGGAGAATGGTGAGCTGCGTACTTGTTCCTCACACAAGGGAAGTGTCCCTTCCCTCCTGGGCTGTGCCTTGACCTCGCTCCAGCCACGGCAGGCCTGGCCCTACCTGGCTCTTTGGAGCTCGCACCCACCTGGGACTTCTCTGCCACGGAAGAAAGAACCACGTCCTGGGCCTGTGGACTTGGAATTGCACCTTTGGGGTCCTTCTGGGGAGGAGGATGGGTTGCCCGATCAGAACATGGCCAGATTTTCTTTTAAAGGCTAGATGGTCAGCCTAAGGATCAGTCTGAACTTTAACTTCACTTTCTCCTTTTCTTGGCCTTTAATAATTCAGTGTGTGCTGAGGATTATATTGCAAGTCTGGCCAAGGATTTCTTTAAAAGAAAATCCCCAACCAGGCTGGACGCATTACTGTTGTCAGCATGACCGTTAGCCTCCTTCAGAGTGAAGGTCAACAAATAATTTTCAGCTTTGTTTAAAGCCTTTTTAATGGATTCTATAAAATGCTCTAATTACCAGTGATTATCCGCTGAGTGCTCGCAAGCTTTTTAAAGCTTTTCTGTGCCCATTTCACTCTGTTCACACAGAGTTCAAGTTGTCTGATGTACTTAAGCAAGAGGAGGCATTTTCTTTCTTTCTATTTCTTTTTTTTAAAATCATATAATTTGGAGTGTTTATAAGGCAGGCCAGCTTTCTCTTTTTTTGGTCTGAAGCAGAGTTTTTACTCTACTTTCCATCTGTTTCCATCTTGTCACCCAACAAGAAATTAAATGCCATTTAAATGATATGACAGTCACTTCCTTACCACACACAGTAGAACATAACTGCCTTCGATGTGCACAGAATTCTCACAGGTGTCATCTCAGTTGAGCCCCACAGAGGGAGGCTGGAAGGGCTGCTGAGGCTGGGATTCCTCACCTTCTGCCCTCCTGACATGGAAGCCTGGATCAGTTCTCTGTGGTGGGGGCATCCTGGGCATTGTATGGTGCTCAGCAGCATCCCTGGCTTCTACCCGCTAGAGGCCTAGCACCCTGCCCTAGTAGTGACAATTAATAATGTCCTCAGACATTACCCAATGTCCCCAGAGGGGGAAAGAATCACTCTTGGTTGAGAACAGTTGACTTAACCCATTTTCAGATGAGGAGATGGTGACGGGAAGGGCTTGCCCGAGGCCCCACAGATGGCGTGCTGTGGAGGGTCTGTCAGCCTCTTCTGTTGCTGCACTGATGACTCATAGAAACCCTCAAACCCAGCAGAGGCACCATTCTTTCCTCTCCTACCCCCTGTGTCAACTTCCCTGCCTCTTTTCCTGGTAGAGTCACTGCCAACATAAGTGCCTGTTTTCAGCAAATGTGTCTTCTGCAGCTGATGTGTTTCAGGCTTCTGTTCTTCTGCCTCCTACGTTTCGTGTCCTAGAGGACATCTCATTTGATTTTTATAGTGTCCAGAAGACTGTCTGGAGGGCTCTCGGGCAGGGAGGCCCAGTGAATTTGTCCCACAGTACTTGTTCCTGTTGCCTGGCCATAGGCTGCCCGCCATGCGTGGTCAGGAGCAGTGAGGAGTAGACCTGCTGGGGTGGGAGGGAAGATGTACTGACAGTGACCCACAGTTCTGAGAAATCATCTGTGGATGGTTCAGTTCACACTCTGTTCATGAACCACAGCCACAGTCTTATGTTCATTGATAACCATTTGTGGCACATTGGTTAATTCCAAGCTGATAGTGTCCTTAGATGGTGAACTTTGACCTGACCCCTTACCCACATGTATCCTTTCCTGCCCAATCTTGCTCTCTGGCGAAAATAATTGACTTGGGTCATGTACCATTGGGCTGAGGGACAGAAGATTGTGTGTGTGTTTGTGTGTGTCATTGTCTTTGTTAAGGGAGAGGAGGGGTCGGTCCTTTAAGGTCTTACACATTTTGAAAATGTTGGATTAAACAAAGTAAAACAAGATTCTTTATTGCAGGACTTCTCAGAGCCTTTACCTGGTAGTGTGCTCTATGATTATTCCAGAGCAATACAGGATGCAACATTTCCCAAAGTAATTTGACCACAAGACCTCTTTTCTTTTCATGGAGTATCACATTCCACTGTGTGCATAATATTCTGCGGGAAAAAGTGTCACCAAGATATGAAAGTACACCTCGCCCCACTTTGTGTTTGGCCATTTCTAAGGTGGCTTTGAAACTAGGAAGGATGAAAGATTGTCAGATATGGAAGCCCACACCGTCCTTTGGTTTGGTGGCTCTCAGTGGCTGGATTCTGAGCTGGACCCTGGAGGAGAGAAAGTCCTTCTCACATGACTGGACGTTCCCAAAGCTGGGGGAGTCAGTTTGGAAGACCTGACTTCCCTGTCCATGTGAGTGGCCATGGGAGGGGTGTGGTCGGAAAAGAGGGGGCCAAGGGAGCCCAGCGAGAGAAATGCCCACCCTCACCCTCCTCCTCCTCAACCGAAGAGGAGAGGTGCAAGGGGAAGGAGTGAAGAAAGAGAAAGGAGAACAGAAGTTTCCATTTGTACCGGATGGTTTTGTTTTTTTATCTGTTTGCAAATGTTCAGTGTAATGGTTTGAAACCCAGCCGTGTAGCTGCCGCCGCCCACACACAGAGCTGCCGTGGCACTGAGCTTCAGCAGGCAAACCATATCACCAGCGTCGGCCATTAAACCCGAGCCCACACCAGGGCAGGCTGCACACCTACCCCCGGTGTCCCTCTGCCACCCCCACCGCCCCGGCACCCCCGACACCCACCACCCTCCACACACACAATTTTTCTTTTTTTAAATCTCCAGCAGTCGGTTTTTCTCTAGAGAAGACATAAAGAGAAGCAGAGGCAGAGATGGGACGAGCAGAGAGAATGCTCCTGCCTCATCGGAGCCACCGGTTTTCGGGAGAGAGCGGCAGCCCCCACCTGCCTGTGGACTGAGCACTTAAAGGTGAGAGAGGACTTTGTGATTTCTTTGTGCACCTGGAGGTCTGGGATGCAAGGCCAGATGAAGGGATCTTAATCATTGAGCCTGGTCTGTTGCCTCCCGAGTGATTCTATCAGGCAAGCATGATGGATGATTCCTTCCAAGCACACGCAGTTATCTCTGACACGAGCCCCACTCAGGTCCCCGTGAGATCTTCTGAACCAAGGGGCTTCTAGCCCCTCCTCCCCACCTTTCAGTACAGCCTTGTAAACCTCAGATGTGGATGAAGGTGCCGTCCTGCCTTTGACTTGACCTGTTGATTTCCAACCGGGGCTGCTGGCCCTTCCTCTCTAGCGTGAGTAGTGACTCACACTTTTGGGGGCCTATGAAATGGTCCTCCATCCAAGGGGCTTTGGGAAGCCTGTTTCCCTAGTGGCCCCAAGCCCAGTAATCAGAAGCAATCAGACCCAGCTGTCCAGCTAATTTGTATAAAATAGGCTTCCTTCCTAGTAGAAATCAACAAAGTCTAAAATAGAAGGGACTGTAATAGGAAATGAAGCTGCAGAGTTCTGTGTGGAATGCAACAGGCAGGGACATCGGCATGGAAAATACTAAGTACAAATTACATGGCTGACAACCATGGGAGCAGGAGAAGCAGTGATCTCCTTGCTTATCGAGCATGTCTCTGGGTCGGAGGGGAGCTGAGTGGGAACATCATTTCTGAAAGGTTTAGACCTTTCACCAAGGAGAGGGAAAAGGAAGAACAACAAAGATGGAGAAAAGGGGGAAAAAGGCCGTAATATAATATACATGTAGAAGAGAAGCAGATAAAAAGCTCCAAATTCTGTGCAGTCAGGGGATGAATCAGTTAGTAAAGATCTATTTTTAGTTTCCAAGATCTGCTGTTACATTTTGCCTGGCATTAATTAATGTCACAGGCATGTTCCATGCACAGGCTCTGAAGGGCCCTCGCGTGTCACTGTAGCTAGAGGTGCCATCCCGTCTTGATGGGAGCTCTCCAGTCCTTTGGGGTCTGGTCTCTGACACAAACATGTGTCCAGAATGTTCTGCTCTCTGACCTTGTCCCCTCTGGGTGTATCCGTTAATCTCCTCGCTCTGGCCCTTGGATGTCTGGCCACTGGCCAAGGGAGAATTGCAATTGTTATACTTTGTTTTTTAAAAGGAAAGGCTGTACAAGCTGAAATTGGGAAAAGACAAAGATGTTGGATCATGGCTTAGAATTTAAAGAAAAGGCTTTGAGGGCCTCTTTCCCACTGCAAGGAAGAAGAATGAGGCCCCCCTCTTCTCCAAACAAGGCTGGTTTTGACAAATCAGATTTCATAACTGGAGAACATCTTCCAATATAGTTTAGGCAAAGTGTAATATGTTAGCAAGAACTAATTATATGACTGGGGTTGATCAGCTATTGGCTGAAATTGTGTGTGAGACTATCTCCAAAAAGCCCGTTCATATTTCAGAGGCGAGGCTGTAAATCTGAAGAGCAACTGAAATGCAGGCATTATTGCACGCCTGAAGCCTTGCTTTCTGAGGTGGTAAGGGGGGATTACAGGCAAGAATGAAAAACCCAAGGTCACATGGCAGCACACTGTTGGGACGGCTGTTTTTGTATATTTGTACCAATTATTAGATCAATGAGAAAGTATGACTACATCATGGACTCTAATTAGAAGAGATGTCCCTTATACTCTGAAATTTTTGAGAATATTCTCCTACTAACCTAGAGCCTGATGGAGCCATCGACGCTAATTGTTCAGTGCCATTGGTCAAGGCCAATGCATAGTCTTCATTTAGTTCCTAAGTCATTTGTGGTCGACCCATCCAAGACAGGGGCACGGACAATCTCGTCAGAGTAGGCTGGGAGGGTTTCCATGATGGAATGGGGCTGACCTCTCTGTTGAGGGGGGAAATCCAAGGGGTGCACATGAGTTCCGAGGACCAGTGGGAAAGTCCCTGTTCAGTCCTTGGGAAGCATCACTACCGCTACATTTCTGATGTTCTGAAGATGGGTTAGAACAGAGTGTGAGAGCAAGCAGGGTGCTGACCTTGGGTCTCGTGTCTTGAGGCTCAATTCCTTCCTCTCACCCAGCCAGGAGATTCAGAGGTCCTGCAGCCTCCCACCTCAGACCCACATACCTGGTGTGAGTTCTGCCCTCCTGACCACACCCCTGCACCTTGGACACAGCTTACCACATCCTTCCCCAAAGCATCTTGTGCCTTGGAGGGCAGGTGCCGTTGCAGTGTTCTGGGCTGGGGGCACTCGAGTTCAGCCCTGGCCAAAGGCCGTGAGGGGCAGAGCTAGGGGATAGTACCTCCATTGGTAATGAAGGTCTCCATCCCTTCCAGGCTGGCCATGTCTGTGGCCACAGATGAATAGGATGGGTGCCCACCTTGATGGGTCAGACAAGGTAAGGACTGTCAGACCCCATCCTCTGTTTGAGATCAGACCAGAGCTGCCATCAGAAAATCAACTGAAGATTAACCAACTTCCTCTGGTGCTCAAAACCTAGACTCCCTTTGCTGCTTTGCAATTTCTTTCTGTGTGTAGAGGTCTGATAAGCCAGATAAGATGAAGGAATGTTAATCCTTGGGCCCAGTCTGAAGGCAAAGTTCCAATTAAAGAAGATATGACCGTGGCCTGGGGCTGTGCCTAAGAAGGGCTTTGCTTACGTCTCTTTGTCTAATTTCTGTAATGGGCCCGTGTGGATGGCACCTTCACCAATACCATTTTATGGAGGAAGAAATGGAGTCTTATACAGTTCATTGTACTTTTTGCATTGTATCTTAAAGATATAAAACTTTAACCTTACACTCCATAATATATCTATTGATCTTACTATAAAATAAGATCTCCCTCCTCCAAAAAAAATTGTGAAGGAAAATGGTTCCCTCCTGAGTGAGTGCCAAAAGCCTGGGCTTAGCCTGTCGGAGAGAGAGGCTGCAGAGCCCCTGTGTGGTGAGCAGACGCCCTCCACAGGGCCCCCGACACACGCTTCGTGCCTGAACCTTGTCCCTGTGATGTTGACACTGTGTGGATGGCGGAGCTGGAACTTGCCCTGAGGGCCCCAGGGAATCTGGCAAGGCCCAGTCTCCACAGCCTTTCTTTGTGGAATGTTCCAGCTGGCCGGTGTGCACAGGGGAATCTGGGTCGAGGGCCTGAGGGGGGCTGTCGTCCCACACAGGGCTAAGGCTCTCCAGGGAGCCTCAACGGCTGGACCCCCATCCAACACCAGCGCCAGGGCAGCCCCCTTCGCCCTGCCGTGGCCCGCCTCTTCCTCTGTGACCTGCCACGGGCCTCACATCCTGAGAGAAGCCCTAGAAACGGGCTCTGTTGATAAAAACACACATACCCTTTGCCACAGGAAATGTGGCCTCACGTTCACAATGGTAACCACCAGGCTCCTCACAGAAACCAGAGAGGAACAGATTTTAGATTTTTACCTCAATTAGGAAACACATGTTCTCTCTCTCTCCTCCCCTCCCTCTCTCCCCTCAGCAAGTCTCAGTTTTCCTCACATGTAACCTCTGCCCTCCCTATTCTAGATTGGGAAGCTGCACATTTAGGAAATGGAGACTGTGTTCCTTTGAGTTTAGGTAAAAACTGTGAGAAAACAGGATATAAGTCGTAATGGAAACCAACGGGCCTCGGGTCACAGGTAGGGATGTCAGATAAAATACAGGATGCCCAGTTAAAATGGGAATTTCAGGTGAACAATGAAAACTTTGTTAGTAGAAGCGTGTCCCAAAGACTGCACAGGATATACTTATGCTAAAACATTTATTATGTCTTTGAAATTCAAATTTAACTGGGCAATCCTATATTTTTATATATCATGTGTGAATAGTAACCACAGCACAGGGGATCCACCATGTGAGACTCAGAACCAGCATCTGGGAAGAACATTGAGGCAAACTTCTCCATCCGGATTAATTCCTGATCTTCTGAGAATAACAAACAGCCCACTACTCTGTGGCCAGTACTCCGCGCCGGCACACGCTGACATTCTGTGGGCAGGGAGCTCTCCTTGAGTCTGCCCAACGGAGGTGTGTAGTTTTTTGTTGTCCAGGAGAGAAACAGAGGCCCAGGGAAGTCAGCGGGACGAGCCCGAGCTCAGTCAGCTCCCGGCCTGTGTCTCTGCATAGTACTCGCTGGCTGTGGGCGGGCAGGCAGTGCCAGCTTCAGAGGAGCAGTAATAACAGGTTAGCTTGGAAGTGCTCCTTGCAGAGATGGGAACGGCTGTGTCAACACACGCAAATGATATGCAAATACACTTGGCCTGCCTGCCCAGATGGGAGACCCATGAGCACAGCCTCCAGCCGTCCGTGGGTTTTCGATAGGGCAGGGGTACCAGGCTGATAGTGGCTGGGTCTCCTGAGAGGCCCATGTTCCCGGTGCATGTGGGCTGCTGGGACACATGCACACACTTGTCCTCCTGGCGTGGATGAGGATGCGAGGGGGCTGGTGTGGAGGTGGATGCCTAAGGCTGGAGGGGGTGTGTTGAGGCACTTGTGACCTGCCACCCTGATCTGTGTATTCCCAGCAAGCCACATGGCTTGTGTCTCCTGGGGTAATCCTTCCTGAGGCTCCAGCGCCCATCTCTGGACAGAAGGAAGCGGCCCTTTCCCTGGGCACCCTCCTGCTGAGAGGCCACAGGACTGCAGACCTTTGAGGAGAATAATCCTAACCACAGTGATGCTACCATGAGTGTTAACCAGGTGTTTATGATACACCCTACCCAGTGCTGAGCATCTTGTGCTTCATTCTCCCACGTGCCTGGGGTTCTTGTGGCCCTGACTTGAAGATGAAAACCTTGAGGCTTAGGAAGGTAAAGTAACTTGGTCACAACTGGTGAGATACGGAGCCAGGATTCCACCTGAGGGTGAATCACTGCCAGGTGAATGAGGGATGACTTTCTTTTTTTTTTTTTTTTTTTTTTTTGAGACGGAGTCTCGCTCTGTCACCCAGGCTGGAGTGCAGTGGCCGGATCTCAGCTCACTGCAAGCTC